GTGGGTGTGGGTGTGGGTGTGGGTGTGGGTGTGGGTGTGGGTGTGGGTGTGGGTGTGGGTGTGGACATCTTAGGAGAAAGGATCCCAAAACACACTCACGCCCCCAACCTTAATCAATTCAACATTCTAAAATTTTATTTGATACATTCTATATAAATATTTCATTCAATCAAAATTGGAATGCGTTAAATGTTAAGATCTATTCTATTTACTTAATATTCTGGAAGGAAAATATTTTTCTTAAAATATTCATCGAATCGATATAAAGATATTGAGTTTTAAGTCCATGATATTCTTGTAAAAAGCTGTTAGCGCAATCTCTACGAGATTAAAATGTGAAACACGATATAGCTGCTGTGGCTGATGACACGGAAATAGTTTAGATCTATGTCTATTATGGTCTGTGAGACTGCCGATCATAGCCTAGAGGTTATTTGAAAAGGTGTCTGTCACGGTCTGTGAGTGGGAGGGGGGGGGGGGGTAGTGGGTGCAAATTTCTACCCTATATACTTCAACACTCCTTTCAGATCGTGTTTCACAAAAATATACCATTGCATAACCGAAAGTTATTGCTATAAGATCTGAAAAAATCTCAACAAATCATTGAATTATTGAAATGTAGTTTTCACAACAATGAGACCTACTGAAGAGAAATTTTTTAAAGCTCTTCATCTGTTACAATTCGGATCACTCTAGCAATTCCAGCTAGAGAGAACTTTGAAAATCTCTAGCATTTTTTTAGGAGGTTTTCAAATGTTATTCCACAGACAAAAAATGTTCGTCTCACATTGCTCTATCGTTTTTTTGTAAAATGAGGCAAGAGTAAGCTGATTTGACCGATTATCAATGAAAATAATGAAACATCAAAAAAAGAACACTTTTTCTTGACTCATCCTTCCTATATTTGAACTTATATTTTATTTTTACGAGAACTCTCACAAAAAAAATATGACTTTTTCGATGTAAAAATGTTATCGCTAGCAAAATGACACAAAAATTAAAATTATAGGATCTATATTTAAGACATTGCACAGCGATTAATCGAAGTTGACTTGAGTTTGTATCGTTTAATGCTATTTTTACTCGATTTCTGTGAAACACAAAGGTAACTTTTAAATAATATATCATTTATGTAAAAACTGTATAAAAAAGTGACCCTTTTTTTAGGTTTTAACATAGACTGGTAGAAAATACTTTGAGCTATCTTTTGATGAAACAATCTTTTTTCTCTCATGTAAAATAGTTGAACAATGTCTGAGACAAAATCAATTGTTTTTTGAGTAAAGCGGTATAAAAAACAATACATCTAGGTTTTTCTTAGTCTCACAGACACTTATATGGGGTCAAAAGATGAAGCAAAAATACCTGCAATCAGTTGAAATTAGACACTCTTGATTTATAAAACGTTTGAAAGAAATAATGGTGGTTTTTACGAAAAAACCTAGACTCTTGAAGTTATCGAAATTACTTCCAGTAACGAACTTGTACTAATGAGATTAGAAAAGGATATTCTTCATCAGCTTACAAAGCTCTATTCAATGATATATCAGAGAATAACGTATTATTTTCAACCAATACTCTGATACGATCTATTTCCTTGCTAAAACTTGTGATATTCAGGTTTCATTTCATACCATAATTCAATGTTTCTAGTAAGTTATAGGATTTTAATAAGAGATAGAATGATATTCTATCCAAGAAAAAATAAAATTCTCTAGAAACCAAATTTCGATTATCAATATTTGTTGAGTTGAAACAGAAAACGATCACACCATCTATGTAATGGTGAGGATTGTCGAATATGAGTCTTCTTGTGAGATACTTATACCCATTGTTGATTCAGATTGCTTTTAGCAGAATCATTCAGATAATTGAAAAAAATACAAGCATTCTCATGCTTGTTCTTTGAGGTTCATCATTTCAATCGCCTAATAATATCTTCCTCACTTCGATTTGATTTCAGGTTAAGATACAATCTTCAATGAAACATTGTCGGGACAATTTTTAGAGTATAAATGCTAGTATCTATCAGAGCTTCCCATAACTTTCATGCAAATCAATAAGCAAGCGTCCATATAAGATAATGAGTATTCAAAGAAAATTGCATAGCTTTGTGTGTGCAGTTTTAGTCTTATTATCAAATAATATTAAGGTCAATCGAAGCGTACACGCACTGCCATTTCTTTTGGAAAACTGGTAAAGCCGTCTACACAACCGCCGACATTTTCTGGCGTGTCCTCGACTGTGATGCCACGTTGCATCATTCGAACAATGATCGTTTTCAACTCGAGCCAAGTTAATTCTTGTCCAATACATGCTCGATGTCCACCACCAAATGGAATCATAGCTAATGGATGATGATTTTTATCTTCACCTAAAAATCTTTCTGGTACAAATTGTTGAGGATCAGCATGATGCCAATACCGAGCATCAGTATTGATGTTATTCAAAGCAATAAAAATAGTTTGACCACGATGAATCTTCACATCATCGACAATGGTGTCACAAGTAGCTACACGAGTTGTAAATACAACAACAGAAGCCAAACGTAAGACCTAGATACAGAGATGAATCTTACAAAAATAATCTAATATTTCAAAATGAAACTAACCTCTTTTGTCACACATTCACAATGGATTAATGAAGCTAAATTCTCTTCTGTTAGCTGTGGTACATATTTGAGATCATCTGTCATCAAAAGATGATGTTCGCGCAATTCCTCTTTCATTTTTTGTTGCACTTGAGGATTTTTACTTACAAAAAATATGAACCATGATAGAGCAGTTGATGTCGTTTCATATCCAGCTAGGATCATCATTAAAATTTCATCAAAGATCTCTACACGTGTTAGACCAGATGAAGCTTGCTCATCATTGGCTTCTTCATTCAATGATGAAACCAATGAAGCAATCAGATTCTTCGGTCGTTGATTTTCCATTTCACTTTCTTTCTTTTGTTCTTCTTCAACTAGCTTTTCTGACAATTCATGAATTAATCGATATGCACGTTGATATTTCCAATTATATTTCAAATAGATTTTCCCCAACCATCGAGGCAGCCACGATGAGAAGAATATCAACATGACATAGGATATAAAATCATGGAAAGCTTTTTTTATTGGTGAATGAATATGAATATCGAAATCGTGATCGAATCCAATGAATCCAATGACATTTATGGTAAATGATTGACAGCATGAGACTAAATCTCGATGAATTTGATCAGGATGAAGATTTTGATCAATGAAACGATCAGCACATTGAACAATCATATCTAAATGACCAATGATCTTTGCTCGTTTCAACATCGGTAGCAAAACTCGTATATGTCGTTTCCATTTAGCACCAGTCAACAGTATAAGAGCATTTGAACAAAAAAGGTCAAAGTTTGGAAAAACTAATGGCGATTGTTCGAAAGTATGACGATCGCCAAATATGATTTGTGCATGTTCTATTCCACAGAAAACTAAACATCGATGTGGGCCAAGCCAATATTGAAATTTATCCCCAAAACGACGTTGATAGTCGAGGAAGACTTGATAAAATGTTGATTCTCCTGTGAATACACCAGAATTAATGAGGTTACGAAAAAAATGTGTGGTTTCACTCCTGGTAAATCATCTGGTGATGGAGAGTAAGCATGTTTTAAATAAATATATATCAGAGTAATAACGATTACAAAGAGAGCTACGACTATAATTGATATCATGGCGAAATATTTATCGTAAGTAATATATAGGTGAAGAAGTGTCGTTAAAAAAGCGCATGTCTTGTGGGTGTGGGTGTGGGGTGTGGGTGTGGGTGTGTGGGTTGGGGGTGGGGTGTGGGTGTGGGTATGGGTGTGGATGAAGAGAACACCCACACCCACACCCACACCCACACCCACACCCACACCCACACACCCACACCCAATGTGAAACACGATAGACCTACTGTTACTAATTAAATGGACTTCGTTTTCTTCCGTTTCTTTACGATAGATTTCTAGCTTATCGTTTGTTTTGATCTTCCAAAACTACAGTTTCTGTGTAACAGTGGTGGGGGAGAGTGGATCCAAAATTTCTACCCTATACACTTCAACACTCCTTTCAGATCATGTTTCACAAAATTAAATTGAGTAATTTTGATGAGAACGACTTTGACCTTGACTATGCTGTTATTTAATTTTCAAATTGTTCGTTTTCAGTATTTTGCAATTCACTAAACCAAACACAGATTTTAGTGATTTATCACTTAATCTAAGTCAGTTTTGTTTAGAAAAAAAAATAAATCACACGAACTTCAATTATAAAATGTAGAATTTTATATAATGCAGTAATGATACGACAACATATTCTTATTTTATTCTTTGTTTTCTTTTTTTTCATTTAAATGAAAATAATCAAATATCTCTTTAGTATTTAGGTCATGGTGATTACTATGGATCTAATTTATATAATACATGATTTAACTTTCATAGGTCGAGCTCGGCCCATCCAGAGCTGTTTCATTTATATACAATTTTATTTCTAATATGAATACTGCAAGAAGAATTCGAGTAGACTGATTCTATATTGTAACTAAATTAACATAAAGTTATTGTTTTTAACGTTAACACAAAAGCATTAAATTATTTTTGTTAATTCTAATACAAGGATATTACAATTAGTATTATTTAATACAATGCTAATGCTAATCCCAGGCCCCGCGAAAGTGGGGGGGGGGGGGGGGGGTGTAGGGGGGTGTACACCCCCCCAAAAATTGAAAATTATTTATTATTAGCCAGCAAAGTGGATGAATTTTTTGAACTTTCAAAGTATCCTCGCTGTTAGAGGTTTTTCAGACATCTTCCAAAAGGATTCTGAGTACAGAGGGGAGTCAGGGGATGACCTTTCCCGAATAATTGTAAACTATAGTTGGGATATCGGTGAAAAACACGAATTTCTATGGCAAGTTGAAGAAATCAGATGGTTTTTTTTCCTCCAAACCCAGTGTAAAACGATGATTTTTCTAGAAAATGCTGAGATGTTAAAATTTGTCGCTCCGCGAAGAAATAACCATATGAGCGTATTCGGCCTAAAAATGTCTATGATTTTGCTATTTTTATGAGAATTTTACGGTTTTCTACCTTGTGAGCAGCTTCATTTTCAAGCAATCATCACTAGGTGGACGTCTTCGGCGGCAAAATTGTTATGACTTATCGCGACAATTTTTCCTTTAGAAAAAAAATAAGCAAAAGACGAATTTCTCCTTAGTCTGAAAAAAGTTTTCGCTTCGCGAAAAATAACAGTTGCGTAACCACAGTTAACTTAGAAAAACTTCCAACTTTAGTCGATTTTCCCTTTAAAAGATCTAATCGAGAACAATCGTCACCAGCGTGGCCGCCTTCGCCTGCCGAATTGTTGAGGAATTTTCTTACATTGGACATGATTTATCTTCTTGAAAATTTGCCCGAGAAAGTCGAATTTTTTAAGAAAGTTGCAAAACGTTTTCGCTTTGCGAGAAATTGTTACATTTTAGGTTGCGAGAGAAACATTTATATCAGGTCTAATGCGAAAAAAAATCAGGTGCATAGCCAGAAGTTTTCTAAGAGGAGGAACCAGGGTTCGAAGGGGGACCATCATGGTAAAAAAATTTGCGCTTCGCGAACATTTAACTCTGTACCCCACCAGAAAATTTTTCTTGGAAGGGGACCGACCCTCTTTCCTCTTGGCTATGCTACTGCAAAAAATTTTGCTTCGCTCAAGCTTAGCTGCCTCAGGGCCTATTACACCCCCCCAAACCCGGGACCTTCGCGCGGGGCCTGGCTAATCCTAAGCCGATGTCCGTAATTTATAATTCAATAAAACAAAGTTAGGTATCAAAACGCAACAATTTTAAGATCTTCTTAACTTTACTTATGTGACATTGTTAAATGCAAAATTTTTAATCTTTGCATATCAATGCGAGAAAAAAATTTCGAAATTTTCCACTCAAAAGACCAAATACTTGAAACATCTCAATATGAAGAATAAAAGTTTCGAACCAATACTTTTTTGAAGATATTTGTCTATGGAAATTACATATACACCTTTATCGGGTAATGATAAAATGAATAATCGTTCTTCGGAGAAAAAAAACGAGAAAATAGACACATTGTCTATCAACCAAAAGAAAAATATTGATTAGTTATATGATGAATTGTGAGAGTAACTGTCTATGGTGTCTTGTATCATCTACACATTCACAACTATATCTTTTCCTTATTAAATGCAACTTATATGGATGTAATCACACAGTAGAGAGAGCAAAGAGAGGAGGTCAATCCTCGGTGAAAAGGTCACACAAACGAAGAATTAAAGGTCAATAAATGTTATAGATTATTGGACAGATACTTTTCTGTTCTCAAGTTGTGAATGGCTGGAAGTGACCGATCCCATGGATCATCACTCGTCATGTCCGTATTCAAGAACATTTGTCGAGCAATTTCGGTCTGATCGTTTTCTGTTCATATTATATGTACTAGGTCATTCTTTGAATTAAACACAAGCGAGTAGGGTGTTCCATTACAATTATTCTCTTCCCAACGTATGTGCCAACAATACTTCCAATTATTATTTAAAATATGTTCATATACCTATTTAACGTTTTTCTTAATTGATCGAAACATGTGTATGAATTTTTTTTATAGACAATATTATTATTTGATCATCTCTCTATATTACAAAGACAATTAATACTGATTCCAGCTTATCACCAACAAATAAAGATTCAACATTTATCAATACATCTTCAAATTTGAATATGATGCAAACAGATACATCTCATCATGTACAACATCAACCAACTACTGATGATCTTGTTCCAGTATCAAATGATACTTTATCATCAGTTAATAATATGATATCACCATTAACATTTTCTATGTCTGTTACAAATCCAATGGTTAATACTGTATATCCACGGTTAAGACGAGGTATTTATAAGTTAATTGAGAAAAACGATGTATTGAAAATATATAAATGTAATCTATATAAATGATTAACATTTGTATCATTATTTTGTTTATTTATGATTACTATGAAGTTGTTCTTTCTTTTTTTCTTTATAGAATCTAATTTTGAACTTGGATGTCGTCGAGCAGGTTATACAAGTTATCAAATACTTGAATTAGAAAAAGAATTTCATTATACCAAGTAAGAAAAAAGAATATTTTTATATTTATTTATAAATATTAATAGATATTTAACACGTTATCGACGGGTTGAAATTGCTCATGCTCTTGATTTAACTGAACGACAAATTAAAGTAATAAAATCTTTTTTTTTAATATCTTGATCTATTTGTTTTCTTTGTTTAGTGTTGGTTTCAATGTCGGTAAGAATAAATTGCGAACTTTTTTTATTTATTTATTTATGGTTCTTTTTTATTTTACCTTAGTCGATTTGAATGGCAACTTGAAGGATCTAGATCACGTAATGATCCACATGTTGAACTCGACGCAAATACAACAAATCATGGTCGAAATCATCATTCATATGGTATATGAACTAATGATACATCATGATCATCGATATTAAATATTAAAAAAGAAAATAACCATCCATATAACATTAATGGAGACAATAAATAAATATTTAACTGTATACATATGTAACGACTTTTGACTACTAGTTAATCGCAATATAATACATACTCTTCGTTTTGTTCTTCAAAGATTAAAAAATAAATTTGCAATCGATTGTCAAATATTTCTCTATTAAAGTATTTATCATGTTTCAGTAAATGCTACACGACAGAAATAAGATTTTTAAAGAGCTTGTACAATGTATCAAGAATTTGAAAAATAAATGGATAACTGTTTATCGAGACGTCATATAGATGCCAGCAAAAAAAAACGTTGTGGTAAAATCTATTCATCTATATATTTGAAATAACGCAAAGAATTATCAGTTCTTACCTCAGTGCAAAAATACAGTCCGTAGTTCACTGAAAATGATAAATATAGCAGTCGAGCCTATTTCAATATGTTTGCGGAAGAGGAATCTTTCAGATAGTTTTTCATATCGTTATTCATTGGCATAGCCATGTGTTTGCTCAATAATTTCAATCAATAAATGCTTGATAAAAGGAGTAAAACAGTACAGATTGACACTTCTACCATTAGTTTGAAAATTTCGTCTTAGAAAATGATAACAAGTGTTGCTTTGTCTTATCGCATATTTCTAATCTTTTTACTTGATCCTGAATATAATTCCATCGACGACTTATGCTTAGCAATTGTTTTAAACACCATTTAATATGATGTTTCAAACAGAATTTTGATCCGCAGCAGTAAACACTGCCCAGGCAGACAAAAAAGTGAAAAAACGCGTTTAAACGCGCAGAGATTTTCGACCGTGTCAGGATGTCAATCGAGGTTCCCGATTGTGTGTCACTAACGACCAGTATAAGTGAACGTGAAAACGGTCTCTTTTTCATGCTTAATGAAATTTGAATATTTTCATTTCATCAATACAATATCATTTTCACGTTTAGTATTCCGTACCGTGTTTGACTCACAATCGGGAACCTCGATTGACAACCGGTCACGGTCAGTAAAAATGGACGT